TCACTTAGTTGGGTCGTAGGACCAAACTCTCAGAAGATCGACAAATCTGACTTGAGACCTCAAGGGTTGGGCTGCATGCCGACGGTATCCTTCTGCAAAAACAGGCAATCGAGGTTAGCATCGATGATGGGAACATTCCGAACAAGTCTTAGAAAGGACAAAACACACCTTCATCCCTCGGCACTTTGGGGCAGAACAATCCATCATACTCGGGCCCGTGTCCTCTCTCCCAACTCCTGCCAAGCATGATCAGATCGTCCACATACCCCTTGTCCGAGTCGAGCATGTGAGTTACCAAGTACATCAAGGTATCCGGGCTTGGAAGTAGTATCTGCCCCTAGCAACTAACCTTAGGTTGTAGCAAAATAATATCTTGTCTACACCTAAGTGTACCCCTAGCCAAGCGTTCAGGGCAACTACACCCATGACTAGCCTAAATAAATTCACCCCGCATTGAAGGGAAAAAAGCTTCAGTTGCATCAGCATCTTCAACAACAAAGGGTGAAGGGGAAAGGTTAACCCCCTTTCTATGATGGCTTTGGTCCAAAAGGGCATTATGTCTACACTTCACATATCCTTTCTATGATGGGTAGGGTTGAAGGGGAAGGTGAATATAGACTCAGGGATGTTATATCTAACCCTAAAGTGTGAATATTTTCATCAGTCACTTTGATTCTCCTCAGTTTGGCCCTGGCCCTAACAAGTACCTCCCCCTGGTTCTACAGATTCTAGTCATTGGTGGGTTATAAATAGAAGAAATGTAGAAGAAGTGAGAAAGAAACTCGAAAGGAAGCACTTACAGGAAAAGGGTCTTCAGGAAGGGAACTCGGAAGAGAACAGATGAGTGCTCGAAAGGTGGAAGAGGAACGCTTAGGGGCTGATTGCTGAAAAGAAGCTGAGAATGCAAAAATTCTGAAAAGGCTCAAGCATCTCCTATTTATACCCTACTGGAAGGGCGGGAATCAAAAAGGCGAGTCATCATTAGGAGATTTAAAAAGGGCAGCGTCAAACGTGCAAGAAACCGCCGTTATTGATAAGGCGTATTCAATAAGCCTCCAGTCTCCTTGCACCACCTGTCTTATGCCGCAAAAAAAAATAGAGGCTGGGGGCAGTTGACAGGACCTAAGGCGGCTCAGCAGCCCCCGAATCGACACGTTTAAAGTTGTAGTCGTTGTGGAGCTCAAAGGGCGCCGAGGAGCCAAGCCGAGAGGGGACGACTCAAAGGAGCTGAGTGCTCGAGCTGACACCCGTATTAAATGCGACTTGACCATTCATTTATGGCAAAGCGAGTGATGGAGACAACACCATTAATGAGGCCCTGCAGTCTCAGACTCTAGGTTTGTGGTCATGATGGCTAGACATTAATGATTTATACGCCGAGTGTATCTCCTCGGTACGCCCAGAGGTACGGTTCCCCCCAAGCATTAAATCCCAGAAGTAGGTGTCAGGTGCCGATCATAAACATTTGAGTGCTCAGGAATAGACATAAGTGCTCGACTTGTCCCCAAGCACTTGTCCTATCATCCTGACATTAAAGGAGTGAAGATCTTGGGGGAGAACATTCAGATCTTCTTGGGTAAAGGTGCCAGACATTGAATATTCAGATGGGACTTTAAGTCTTTGCACTCATTGCTAATTCAAGTATAAATACTTTTCAAAAAAATGAACAAAGGTACATAACATTGAACCAAAATATCATATGCATTGAGCTTGAGCTTCTAATCTAATATTGACTTAAGTTTCGGAGGGAACAAGCCGGGTGTTCACCTGGCCCACTTTTTTCTGACACTTTTTTGAGCTTGAGCTTCTAATCTAATATTGACTTAAGCTTTGAAGAGAATAAGCCGGGTGTTCACCTGGCCCACTTTTTTCTGACCCTGTGGCTATTGCAGATCCACTAAGTTGAAGATCGCTATCTCAAACTATTGCAGGAAATATCTCAGGCAATGTTCATGTTCTTATGATTTGACTGGCATTGAGTTAGGAAATGTTTAATTGGATCTTGAATTTGTTTTTGTTTTAATCCAATGATAGAACTTTGTGTTGTGTTTTGGCATTAGTTGTGTTTCCATTTGAAACTCAAATTGAGTGCACGTTTAACTATGCTAGTATTAGAGTTTGGAAAATGTTACTTTGAGATTTGATACACATAATGAAAATAATTTATATCTCTTGTGAGTTTTTGAGTTAATCTTTCTTGGAAGGAAATATACATTTATTCAATAAGAATAGTTTCATTCCTAATTTCAATTAATAATCTCATTATTTTTATTTTGGTCAATACTTCTGTTGTGAATAATTACTTATATTTTTAAATTATTTATATTTAGAGTATATTTGTCAATAACTCTTGAGACATGATTTTAAAATATTATTGGTTTAACTTCGGCCTTAACCTTGTTCTTTTCTTATTATTGGCATCCCTAAAAGCTGTGATTGAACCTATGTTGAAAATTTTCAATTCTCAAACCCTATATAATAACCAAGCCAAAAATATGAAATATTTTATCCACTTTCACCAGCCCCACACTGGGCCACCCATTTCACATTTATACCTCATCCTTCTTTCTTTCTCTCTCTACTGGTTCCTCTCTCTTTCTGTGACACACATCTACACCTTACCTCTTCCTCTCTCTTCTGCCTTATCCCTACATGTCTATTGCTTCTCTTCTCACTCTCTTCTTTTCTATTCTGATATCTCATCTTTCTCTCTCGCTTATGCAGTCTCATCTTCCTCTCTTCATCTTTACAAATAACGAGTATGGGTTTCATAAAGGATTTAACAGATACCTTTATCTTCCTGATGAATCAGCCCCCAAGTTTGCAGAAATTCTTGGATAATAGGATCCCCTCAACATTTGGGTTTTAGTTCAACCTACATCCTGCTTTGAATTTGAAGATAGCAAACTAGGTTTTTGTCTATGAAGCACGAATACGGACACAAAAACGTATCCGATACGATACGAACACGGGATTACAACAAAGTTCAAAAATATATGATACGAGTATGACAAAGATGCAGCTATTACAATAATATAATATATTTTTAAATAATAATAAAGTTGTAATATATTAAAAATAAAGCATATATTATAATAATATTAATAATAAGATCTAACAAATATTAATTTTTTGATTAAAATTGAAATAGATCAAATTAAATATCCATCATCTTCATCAAACATCATGTCATCTATTGACATTCATAATATATAAGTTACATAACAAAAAATATATTAAAAAAATAAAAATCACTCTTTTTAATAGTTAAAAATTATTTTTTTAATAAAAAATTTTTTGGCCGTGTCCTAGACGTACCCTGACTGTGTCATAGACATGGCGTGGCTATGTTTGACTAAGTTCACTATTCATAATACTTCTAACCGTGTCGGACACATGTCCAATACTGCCACGAAACTCCTATAGAAGTATCAGTACTTCCTAGTTTTTAGTTGGCTTGGAGAACTTGGTTCTATCTAGGTTTTTTTTTTTTTTTTTCTATTTTTTATAATTTTTGAACTAGTTTTTTATGTTAAAATAGAAGTGAAATTGAACAAAAATTGTTTGAATCGAGTGTTTAATTGGTGGGTACTTGCAATTAGATTATATGAATTAGTTGTTTACTTAATAACATTTTATTGGAGTTCAAACGTATTTGGTTTGGACCGGATTATTGAGGCGAATGTCCAATTATTAATATATCATGATATGAATTAAAATTTTGATATCCATCAAATATACAGATCAGTGATTTTTAATTGGACTAGGATCAACTAAGATCCGGTCCATTGACAGCTCTACCTGTTGTCCCCCACCCCCACCCCCCCGGAGTGCCCTTTTCAACATACTTGTGAACAAATCCGATATATTCTCCCAACCATTCTTGTCAATTCCTTGTGGGATAATAAGGAATCTTCGTTGTCCAGAATTATGCACTTTGGAAACAGAAAAATTCCTTTTGCACTCCAATTCACTTCCACCCACGAGGAGTAAACAGCTCATTTTCTAAAGAACGTCTCTTTGGAGTTCCACTTGCAAACAGACCACTTAGTCCCAGAGGTAATGAAATGCTTGCTGCCTTAAGTTCTTTCTACAAACAACTATGTCTCCCCTTGATCATTCATCCGGAGTTCCACTTGCAACCAGACCACCTAGTCCCAGAGGTAATGAAATGTTTGCTGCCTTAAGTTACCATGTCTCCCCTTGATCATTCATCCACCACTAACGCAAAGAATTTCTGGTCAATCTTAATCTCACACGCACTGTATCTCTTCATTCCTAGCAAGACAAAGAAGCACTCAAAGCAACAGCAAACAAAGTAAAAGATCAAGAAGAAGAGAGTAAAGAAATGACGAGATGACAAAAGAAGGAAAAGAATCGGAATTTAGGAGAAAGAATATGAAGTAGAGGTTCAGAAAGTTAGGAGGAAAAAGATGAAGAGGCATTATGTCATCTTTACAGATCATAAGTCCTGACAAGATAGTAAATGGTACAAAAAAAAATCAAAATATGGTTTCAAAATAGTCAAAACATCTAAAACGTTTTCGTTTTAAAAGAGACCGCAACGATTCAATGATAAAATCAAAATTTTAATTCTTCAAAATGTTCCATAATATTTCAAAATGTTTTGTTATATTGCAATGCATTTGTACAATAATTTCATAATATTTTAATATATTTCTGTGGATGATTTCAAAAAAAAATTATACTTAATTTTTTTAATTTTTTTCATTCTGTTTCTGAAACACGTCAGCATATTTCCATTTCCCAAGTGACCGAAACAATGCGCCAAAATTAAATTTTGATCCTTGGGTACAAAGCAAAAACTTCATATTGCAAGCAGAAAATTAATAAACTAAAAAGGAAAATTGCACCAGGAAGGAAATGAATTGAAATGAATAACTCATCATCATCATAGTGAAAGGAAAACTTGCTAGTAAAATCAATCATTTAGGGAGCTATTGGCTGCAGCATAATTTTGTATTACTTGTTTTAGGTCCCTGAAAGTAGTCTTTATATAATTGACTATTGTATAATTTAAAAAAAAAAATGAATGCATGGCCTGGTTGGTTGAAGTCTCGGGGGAACCCAAAAAGAAGTCAACGCTTTGGTATTATACCATTATCCTGTGTTAATTGCAAAATATTGATGCCCCATTTCTGTCGTGGTAATCGTTTTCAATGAAGCTGGTCATGACTACGTGCATCATCACTTTTCACTGAAATTTTAGGTCCTAATGTCCAAAGCACCTCAGCATTACAGACTTGACTACGGTAGAGACATGGACCCGGCGTTCGTTGGATTTATAGAGTGGGCATGAAACCCTAGAGAAAGCCCTCCAAATTTGCAGATCAGCGCGACATCAATCGATCAGCCTTCGATTGGGCTTCGGTCTTTCTGCCACTTCTCCACGAGAGGCTTCCCGTCCCATAACTAAACACAAGTATCCAAGAAAAGTAGAAAGATTGAAAGATTTTTTTCAGCAATGGAAGAGAGCAAGCTGGCGTGAGGGAAAAGGATTGAATTGAATACCTAGGGAATTTACGAACTCCCTGAAAATTCCTATTTGAGGTTTCCACTATTTGGTGGAAAACAACCAACCAACCAAGGAAAGGCAATATAGAAATCAAATTAAAACAGAACACAATAATATCTGGGTGAATAGATTTTTCTCTTACCTTTTAATACGTCAGCTACTATTGCCATTATTATGTCTCCAGAACGATAACTGAGAACACTGTGAAAGCAGAGATTCCACGAGATTAGCATGACCTGTTTTCTTAACACTATAAATGTCACTTGCTGCCCCCTGAGTATCAAAATCGCGCCAAAATTTAACAATGTGGAGACTCTCTTCTTCTGTTGATCTCTGCAAAACAATTCGAGAAGCATAACCCTTCTGTCTCATTTGACGGCAAATGTCTGAGGGACTATTTGCTGTAAGCGTAACCATATACAACCATCCCTTGTCTGACAAAAGAATGTCAGCAATAGGCAATATCTTATCAATAACACTCCGGCCATTCTCCCCTCCAGCCCAAGCAGAGGCAATCCCACCACGACCCACTTCCTCTTCAGGTGTTGGCACATAAGGTGGGTTCACGACGATCACATCCACCAATCCTGCCAATCGCCTCGCTAGTCCAGAGGCAATGTCAGTAGTTATCAACTCTGCATCAACCCCATGCGCGTCCAGAGTCTCACGAGTCACTTTCACTGCATGAGGGTTGATGTCTGTGGCCATATAGTAGGCCCCATTAGCCTCCTGTCCAAGTATAAGAGCTAGGGAAGTGATAATGTACCCACTACCACAACCAATTTCCATGCATAGTGTAGGACGGTGTTCTAACAAGTTGGTTCGATCAGCTAGCAGTGCATCAACCAAGGCAAATGAATCATCACATGGTTCATAAACTTCAGGATGTGAACTTACAAAGCGAATCTGGGCAGTTCTTGAAGGCATCTTGCTTAATTCTGCCACGAAATAAAAAGCTTGTGAGGGCTTGATAATATGTAAGGATATTGGAATATCCATCTTTTGCTATATTGACATAAATAACTTCAATCAATTAAGTGCTATGAAAAAGTATTTTCGAAATACATCAGTTTACTTTGAACTCACTGGTGAAATTAGATAAAAACACAAACAAATGCACAAGGAATGAGACACTACTGAATAGATTACCATCATCATAATCACCATATTATAAAACCACGCGGCTGATATCATCATATGGTATAATCAAGGTATAAAATAATCCACAATCGAGGTCTCTACCTAACTTTTTGAATGATTATTTCAAATAAATCACAAATCGTATCCTACACCAAATCAACTCCCACAAGAAATTTTTCTTTTTCTTTTTTTTTTTAATTGGAATCAAAACAATTTTATTGATTCAAAAAGATTACATCAAAATTTGACAAATGGTGGCCAAAAGTTTAACCAAAAAAAGCAAAGCAAAGCAAAACAAAACATCATTATACAATGTGTGAAAGCTATGAATCAAATGAAGATTTCCATCCCTCCAATATGCAAAAAACGGAATTCCTTCCAACTCCTTTATAACTGACTCCCAAAAAGATGACAAAAAGTAGATCCTATCCCATAAGCATTCCACCCACTCATATATTCCAAATATATGAGCATTCCTCTTCTTCCATATTTATCCAAATTGTAACAAAAATTTCACAATTCCAAAGAGTTGCCCTTTAATTTGCCACCCTAAGTCTCTGACATACTCTACAATCACGGAGTAAAAAGTCCTTCGAACCACCCAACTCACACTTGTCAATTTAAATAATCTGGTCCACAAAGATGAAGCAACGGGATAACACAAAAATAAATGATTCACACTTTACACTATCACACCTGCACATCACACACCAATTAAAGACACAACAGTGGTCTTCCCCTTTGGAGCACATATTTAGTACTTCTTACCCTGAGTAATAGTCCATGGAAAATTTGCACCTTGAAGGGTATTTTAGCCTTCCATGTGGTCGTTGATGGGGGTAAAGTGAGTGCATTAACAATCATCAAACAACGAGCAATCCACAAGAACCACTATACCCATCCTAGAAACAACTAAAGCGGACCGATCACTAATAGGATCAGGACTCGCCGGAGAATGATTATCAGATAAAGTAGCACGCTGAAGGCGAGAGAAAGCACATCAGGTAGAGATGGAAGTTTGGGACTACCCAAAATCTGTGCACAGATAGGCTCATACTTTGACGGTTTGACCGCAACCCAGTTAAGAAATGGACAACATCAACATCATCCCGTTGTTGTTCCATCTTTAAAACATCAGAAGATATAGACTGATACAACTTACGCTCCTCACTAATTTCCATAACCTTAGAAAAGTATTCCTCAAGAGTCAAGGTGCCCTGTTCAAGTCTAAAGTATTATCTGCATATCTCATAAGTGATATAACTAGTGGCAGAGTACATGTGAGTCAGTCGGTCCCAAATTTCCTTGTTAGTGTCTAGATAAAGTAAAGTAGAATTGATGTGAGGCTCAATGTTAGTCAAGAGGAGAGAAATAATATGTGCATCTTCGTGTTCCCACTGAGCAAAGCCAGGATCACTCATTTGATTTAGGCTCCACTAAGTGCTTATGAAGACCTTTTCCCTTAAGAAAAACATCGACAGAGTGAGCCCACAATACATAGTTACTTTCATTCAATTTAACAGAGGTCATTGGAGCATTAAAGAAGAAAGCATGAGAAAAATTTGGTGGAGGAACTGAGGTAATGGGAACATTACTAGTGGTTAAGGGAGCAGTATCTACCTTAGGATCCATGCTCTCAATAAAAAACTAAGCAAAGAATACAGAATCAAAAAATAGATGTGCAGAAACTCACTGCACAAGGGCGAAAGCAATGAAACGGGTGTTGAACTGGGGCAGAATCAACAAAAAGGATGGCTGAAAATCCCGCAGGAGGTGCTGACCAGGCTGGTGAAACTGGAAAAGCAGTGAACCAGCCTCAAAGTTGATGAACCGGCTGGGAAAGCTGCTGATCCGGCTGGAAAAGCCACTGAACTGGCTGGAGTAACTGAAAACTTGTTGAATTGGCCTCAAAGCTGCAGAACCAACCATAATAGATGCTGAACCGGCTGGAATACTTGCTGAACCGCCCTGACCAAAGAACGGGGCTCTGCTGAATGGACTCATATATATATTTAACTAGAAGAATAACATACCCTTCTTGGGATATAGTTATTACATGGATGCGACTCATACATTCTAACAATATGAAACTAGTTAGTTGGAATGGGAGGGGCCTTGAATAACATAGTAAAAGGAGTTAAATTATGGGTTGATGCACATAGGGTTAGATGTGGTTATTTTGCAAAAGTCCATGAGGTAAAAGGTTGATAGAAATTTGATTAAGAGTGCGTGGGGTTCTAGATATAGGAATTGGGTTTGGTTGCCATTTGTTGGTAGGTCTGGTGGTATTGCGATTACGTGAAATTTGATTAAGAGTGCATGGGGTTCTAGATATAGGAATTGAATTTGGTTGCCGTTTGTTGGTAGGTCTGGTGGTATTGCGATTACATGGGATGAAAGGACTGTCAAAGTAGAGGAGTTAATAGAGGGTGAGTTCTCAATTTCGGTTAGAATTAAGTCTAATGATGGAATAGAATGGTGGTTAATCGGGGTGTATGGACTGAACTGACCAAGGGTGAGGAGTAGACTTTGGGAGGTGGAGACTTAGGAATTAGGAGTTATTTTTATCCTCTTTTTCGACACTCCCCCTCTTTTTACATCCCTTATACTCATTATGACATTCATACTTTTCATCTTTGTTTTTTGGGACACTCCGTACTTTACAAGTTATGCTTCTATGATGTGTCTACCATAGATTTTTTAGCTTTATTGGTAAACATTTACAATAAGCATATAGTACTTTCAACAATTCAAGTGTTCTTGATACTAACCATTCTATATATGCCTTTACTTTTTATTTTTGGTCTTTACTTTTTAATTTTGGTCACATTTGACTCTTTTCTCACATTCAATTATTTGACATCTTTATACGGGATTTGGGGCTTTATTAATCGTAAGTTATGTGTTCAGTTATCACCAACAGTTAAAGTTATGTAAGGTCATTAATAACTCAAGCAAGCACGAATTTTAATCAATAAAGGTGATTGGTTAAGCGTGTACTTAGTTTTATGAATTTTCCAAATATTAACACTATTGAAGCACACAAGGGATAAATAGAATTAGTTTCAAGATTATGCTCTAAGACTTATAACTACTAAGTTCTCAATCCCTTAATATGACTTATAGTAATGCACTTCAACTTTGATTTTATGATGAATGGGCTAAAATTTGAATTAGAGTACAACAAAGTAACTTCTTTTCAAACTTGTGTTTTTGGAATTGTCGATCATCCTATGCTACTTATTTCTTTTTCAGACAGGTACAGGTAACGGGGAATAAAGTATAAGTCTGACCTGCATGTTTTGGTTTATATTGACTTGGGATCAATAGCCTGAACTTTTGTATCGTAATAAGTAGAGGGTTCGATAACTGTTTTGTATAAATGTGTAAGGATTGTTAGATCATCATTATGTTTCCAAGTTATTTACCAGTAACACTTGTGTTTGGTGTGGGGAATGGGTAGAGTTGTAACACGACGTATTATTTTTATCACATAACGTGCTTGTGTGATACGGGGAGTAATAAGTTACATGCCTGGGAGGACTGGGGTGTGACAAGTTGCTCTCATAATCTGGTACAAGTGACAACATGAGCTCCTCTTGATTAGTAGAGGTTAAATATGGGGAAAAGGATAGTTCCTGAAGTAGAAAATAGATGACTTTTAAGTGACATCAGCACCGACATAATAACAGCGAGAGGAAGGGTCATAACAACGACAACCTTTTGGAGTACGAGAGTATCACAAAAGGCACATTTAACTGCGCGAGGTGAAAGTTTATTTAAACTCGAACCAACATGGTAAAGAAATGCAGCACAACTAAAGACATAAGAAGTCAGGCCAAAGGATGATATATCAGGATAGGCCAAGGAAAATGGAGATTTGTTACTTAAGATGCCGAAAAACATCTGATTAATAAGATAGACTGCGGTGAGAGAGCACAGCCTAATAAGGCTTGTGTACATGTATTTTAAACATGGGGGTAGGAACAACACTAATAAATAACGATGTTTGTGTTAAACCACACCATTTGCTGGGATGTATGTGGACATTTAGTTTGATGAATGATAAATTGATCAATACAAAAATGTATGCATAAAAGATTGTACATACTCAAGAGTATTATTAGAATGAAATATCTTAATACGCTTATTAGTTCATCATAGAACGTAAGAAAAATTTTAGTCAATTTAGAACTGTCCTTCATAAAAAACAATTCAATCATACGAGAATAATCATTAACAAAGATCCCAAAATAATGAAATTCAGAAATAGTTTTTATTCTTAAACAAAGATCCAAGCTTTTGTAATGAATAATGAACCAGGGAGAAGACTCAAAATATCTCAGAAATCGCAGGTCCACAGCCACAGTCCACAGGTCCTCCAAGCCAAAAAAAAAAAAAAAAAAAAGGAAAGAAAGAGAGAGAGAGAGAGAGAGAGAGAGAGGTGCAATCTTACGGCTTACCCAGAAGAAATCCGAGAGAGAGAGAGAAAGACACAGACACGGTCACTCATACTGAAGGAGAAGAGTTCGGCTTACCTCCCTGAGTCCAAATCTGAGCAGATCTAGGCCTCCCTTCACTCCCACAAGCTAGGTATGTTTCACTCCCATGAGCCATATAACAGATCTAGGGCTTAGCTCCCCTTAGGACTTGGGTCCTCATATCATATCGCTGACTTCGTCGTGCCAGTGAGCAGTTCCTCTCCCAAGGGTCTAACCTATTCTCTGCCAAGGAATTGGGTAAGCCGTATATCATATAAGTCAAGGGATATTTTGCTTCCTGATTGTAATGACCAGTTTTTTAGTTAATGAAAGTTTCGAAACAGTTCCAAAAAAAAACAACAACAATTGAACTAGTGGCTCATCATTCGGACTGAGTTTAGTAGCTATGATACAAAAACAAAGATAAGGACCCATGCTTACCGGTCCCCCGCTGGCGAGTTATTCTGGGCCTGGTGCACTCTCTGGTGCAAATTGCCTAACACCATTTACCTCCGGTTAGGTCAGTCACTGACTCGGGTTTAGAACAAATTTTAATTGATTTGAATCCGAATTTAACTTTAAAAGCTCATTCTTATAATCGAATAGATTTTATTTTCGCAATTCATATCTGGATCCATTAACAATATAAAATTCAATTCGAATTCGATCCGAATAACATATTTTAATAAATTATATCTAAATTTTAACTAAATTTTTTTAAATAATCCACGAGAGGTGGGTCAGAATCATTCCCCTCCATTCAAATCCAACCATGATTACTCCAACTCAGAGGCTTTCGATAAATAACTTCCCAACACTTGATGTATTCAATGTATGGACAACCCATCATCAGATAATTGTCAAAGCTATTACTTGATTCAAGGTCATGGTATCAAGTATTAATTTGGAGGCAATGCGACATAATGGTCACAATTTTACAGGATGATATTGATGTTTTATAAATTATACATAAAATAAAATAAAGAAATTGAACATAGTTAGTGTCAAAGCATCATATTCAGTTAGGATATCTCAAATGACTCAAATTGACTCAAAAATTCTCATATACCTCGACTTAACCGCACAAGACTCATGATTTATACGAAATATGAAATCGTATTAGTACCCACACACACTTTTAAGCAATTTATCAAAGGCAGTGTTCTTGGGGAAGCGGGCGGGGCGGCATGGACACCCTTGCCTACAAGTAGCAGCACACAAATTTTAAATGGAAAACACCTTCACATTCTTGCCTACCAAGCCAAGAATGCTTTTCTTTCGTACTCCAGCTAAAAGGTTCAGGTGTCTTTTATTTCTCCTACCTTTAGCCAAGGGTGGCTTGAATGGTTGTAGATGAAAAAGCCCTTCTGTCATCCACTACTCGAGAATGCAATGCCTTGTGCCTTTCACAAAATAATAGGACTTGGCTATCGCAACGGAGGTTTGAGTACAATAAGTAAGTAAAAAAATGCCAGTATTATAGTACATGTTGAGTGGAGTTTATCAATTCTTAAGGTGCACTCATCACTAATGATTCACTTAACAACGTTTGAATTTTTTTTTTTTTTGGGAACAACAACAATTTTTGAATTCACTTATCACCTTTTCAGGTGAAATTTTTTACTTTTGGACATTGAAATTAACCACCTTTTAAAGTTTTTCTCGCGTTTTAGTATGTTATTGAAAATTAAAGAACTAGTCTGATAATGTTACTCTTCCAATGAGATCTAGTTACACTAACAAAATCCCACCTTTTTTTGTTGATAGAAATGATAGGATATTGTCATTGCTCATAAAGAAAGAGATACATCATCATGCTAGATGGGAGCTGTCAAAAATAAAGGACATTTCTCTCTCCATAAACAAGGATCCATACAATTCTTTACAAATTTAGCTAAACAATTAGTCACTGCATTTTCATTTATTCAAATCCATAATCCAAAAAATCTTCAAAACAATTTGCATGACTATTAATTTGATCAACATATCGGCACACTTTAGATAAATCCAATGTTACTCTATTCAAGGCGTCTATAACCACTTTTGAATCACCTTTAAGCACAACTTTGTTATAGCCTTTTTCAGTAGCAATCTTCATTGCAATAGATGCAGCAAGAGCCTCCACATGATCAGGATTCAGCAGTCCTTGAATTCTTCAGGGAAAGCCTTGAATAAATGAACAATTCCAATCTGACAACAACGCCCACTCCCAAAGTTCCAGAAGACGCAAATACAGCACTATCAAAGTTTAATTTAAAAAGCCCAGTGGAAGGAGCAAACCACCTACCAGCCTCTGAACTTGCATTGTGTTGTTCCATTGAACCAACAATCATACTATTCCAAAACTGGTGTAAGTATGTTTGAGCAAAATCAAAAAATTGATCCGGAGTCATCATCACATCACCATGTCGTGTTCTATTTCTATTGAACCATAATGATCAGAGAAGAATCAAAAATAAACATTGTTGATCAGCTTGTAACTGACTTCGAATACCCAAAACCCATTCCTTAAATGTAACAACATTCTCATAATAGTTTGTAAAACCAGAAATTTTCCCGAACAACCATGGCAACTAGACACTCGAAAGATATATGAGACATGGATTCATTTGGATCATTACAAAATAAACAGTCGGTATCAACAGAAATTCGCCTTTGCCTCAGATTGCGTTAAGTAGGCAGAATATCTATGATGACTCTCCGGGAAAATATTTTGATCTTATTAGTAAACCGAAGAGACCAAATGAAATTTGCAGACCAATTACCCTCACTACTACTAGAAACACCTTCAATTTGATTAACACACCGAAGACCACGATCCACGATGAAATGATAAACACTTTTCACCGAGAAATGCCCCCCAGATCTATTATAGTGCCAAACCAGTTGCTTGCTTGGAAAATGATTATAAATATGGATGCCCAGAATTTGTTCAATATCACAAGGGAGAAACAGTTGCTCCAACAAACTTAATTTCCAGCAACCATGTTCATAGTCAATTAAGGAGCTTACCAAGAAATCCTCCTCCTCCAGGTCTGGTTAGGGACTAATAATCTTGAAGGAAAAAGGCTTGAGAATCCACCTATCATTCTTCACATGAACACTTCGACCATCTCCAATATGCCATCGCATTCCTGCCTCAACCACCTTCTTTGACGCCATAATGATGCGCCAAGTTAAAGAGGGACAAGATCCCAGCTATGCTTCCATCAAAGTGGAGATAGGAAAGTAGTTTGCTTGCAAAACTTTATAGAGCATGGACTTAGGATGTTTAACTAGCCTCTAAAATTGTCTAGCCAACATAGCTAGATTAAAATCCTCTAAATCTCTAAACCCCATACCTCCACGAGATTTTGCTTCACACATTTTATCCCAAGCAATCTAGTGTATTCTTCTTTCACTATTCATCTGCCCCCAACAGAAATTGGCAACCATACTATTAATTTCATAGCATGTGTTAAGAATAGTAGGGTAGTATATGTAAATTATTAATAGTAAGAGGATGTATGTGTAATTTTTATTATTATAGGTTAACTATAAATACAAGTGATGTATGAGAGTTATGTTAAGTTTTAACCACTTTCTTTTTTCTCTCTAGTATTGTATTAATTCTCTAAACTTAACATGGTATCAGAACCTAGTTTAATCCTAAATATATTTCAAAAATAAATTAAATCCATTTGTGGTGATGGTACTGTTGATCGTCGAAGCTACAGTGGTGGTGGTGATACGATTGTTGTAGCTGTGTGTACTGTTTGTCGTTGTTGGTGGTGGTGTGGTACTGTTGATCATCATTTGGTGTTTGTTGTGGTGGTGTGGCGGTGGTGGTCTGTCGCTCGTTGTGGTTGTGAAAGTGCAGTCGAAGTGTTCGTTTTTGTCGGAATGGCGTGTTCGTCAGATCTATGTTGATCTGTGAGGTTGATCTCAGTTGGGTTTGTTGATTTAGTGCAGTCGAAGTTAGGGTTTACCGAAACCCTAGTCAACGAAGAAGAAACGGTCCAGTGAGGACCTGTGACCCAGTTCAGTCAGTGTTTAGACCGGTTCAGTTAGTGTTTAGACCGGTTCAGTCAATTTTAGGCCGATTCAGTCATTTTTAGATCGGTTCAGACAGGACCTTCTATTTTGTCTCCGGTTCAGTGGTCTAGTGGCCTTTTCTGGTCCAGTTCAGCGATCTAATAGTCTTTTCTAGTCCGGTTCAGCGGTCCAGTGATCTAGTGATTTGTCTTTTCTATTTGCTACACTTATGGAACTCAAGCAAGACACAGGGTTGGTTATTATTACACAAGAAGAGTATGCTCAATTCCTGTCCCAGCAACAGGTTGTCCTATCTCCCTTTACTGCTATTTTTGCTCAGTCAGGTAATGCTTCCACTTGTTTATTGTCCTCCAATCGCAGTCCCTGGATTATAGAATCTGGCACTTTTGACCACATGACTGGTGTTTCTGATATTTTTTTTACTTATTAGTTTGTTACTTCCACACGTAGTATTACTCTTGCTAATGGCACTTATTCTCAAGTTTCAGGTTTGAGGACTACTAACTTGAGTCCTGATATGTCCCTATCTTCCGTATTATTTATTCCTCAGTTTCCTTTTAGTTTACTTTTCATTAGCAAGATTATCCGTTCTCTCAATTGTTCTGTAATTTTTTATCCCTCTTATACATTTAGGATCTCAAGACGAAGAGGAAGATTGATACGGGGCATAAAGCTGGTGGACTATATTACTTTGATTTTGATTCACCTACTCGAGCTTTACAGACCTCGTTGTCTCCTTTTCAGTGGCATTATCGTCTTGGACATTCCTCTCTTCAAAATCTGAAGCGTCAAGTTTCCAGTCTTAGTTGTGTGCCGTCTTTATTTTGTGAAGTTTGTCAACTTAGTAAGCATCATCGTATGTCATTTCAGTCTAGAGTCAATAATGGTGTGTCTAGTCTATTTGAGTTGGTACATTTTGATGTATGGGGTCCAATAAAAAATATTTCATCTAATAAATATCCTTATTTTGTGTCGTTTATGGATGACTATTCTCGTGTGACTTGGTTGTTTCTGATGAAAACTCGATCTGAATTATTCTCTGGTTTTGAGACTTTTTGTAAGGAAATAAAAACTCAGTATGGTTGTCGTATCCGTATTTTACGTTCTGATAATGCTCAGGAATATGAATCTGATCTTTTTTCAACTTATCTTAGTAAAATTTGTATTATTCATCAGACTTCTTGTGCTTATACACCTTCACAGAACGGTATTGCTGCACGCAAAAATCATCATTTTTTGAAAGTCACTTGTGTCCTGTTATTCCAGATGAATATTTTTCGATATTTTTGGAGTGATGTTGTTCTTACTGCTTGTCATCTTATTAATCGTATGTCATTCTCTGTGTTAAATGGGCAAAGTTCATATTCTGTCTTTTTTCCTGGTAAGCCCTTATTTTTTTTAGCTCCTAAGATTTTTGGATGTGTCTATTATGTTCACAATTTAGGTCTTGAGTTTGATAAACTTGACCCTCGAGCTACAAAATGTGTATTTCTTGGTTATTTTCGCACACAAAAGGGGTACCGTTGCTACAGTCCTTCTCTACGACGATACTTTACTAGTGCCGATGTCACGTTTGAGGAATCTGTTCCATATTTTTCAGCACCTTTTCAGCCTTTGGATCTGGACTTTGGGTCATCTCTTGTACCACCATCTCTTACCTCATCTTCAGATATTCCATTGTCCATTGTGTTATCATCTACTTTACCTCTCCGTGTCTACTCTCGTCGTCCTCGCCCATCAATTGAGGTACTCGTACCGTCTTTCTTGCCACCTTCTGATCCTAGTACATCAGGTAATTTAGACTATTTCTCTATTGCTCTTCGTAAAGATACTCGTTCGTGTGTTACTCATCATCCCATTTCTCATTTTGTTTCATATGATGCCTTGTCTCCTGTCTTCTCCTGTTTTACTTCCCAACTATCTGCTATATCTATTCCTAAGCATTTACAAGATGCATTATCTGATTTGGGTTGGAGGAAATTTATGGAGGAGGAGATGGATGTTTTACATCATAATAGGACTTGAATTCTCGTTCCTTTACCCCCTTGGTAAACGAACTATTGGCTTTTGTTGAGTGTATACTGTTAAATTTCGTCCAGATGGTTCTGTAGAGCGTCTCAAATTTTGACTTGTTGCAAAAGGATTTACTCAGACTTATGGTGTTGATTATAAGGAGACTTTTTCTCTTGTTGTCAAAATTTCCTCTGTTCGTATCTTGATTTCTTTGGCTACTAATCTTGATTGACCCTTGTTTTAGTTAGACATCAAGAATGCCTTCCTATATGGTGACTTGGTTGAAGAGGTATACATGGAGCAGCCACTTGAGTTTACTGCTCAGG